AGACCCTAAAGGTATCGGGCACATACATGTATACACAGCTACATACCCAAGTTACCTACGTACCTAGGTACCTACATACCTACAGCTTCACGCGTACATACATACATACACACACATACGTACATACGTACCTACGTACCTACGTACCTTCTTACCTACATATCTACAGTTACATACATACATACATACATACATACATACATACATGCAAATGCACATCTATACAAACCAGACGCACAATGCATGTCATGTTTGTATTTTTCCATCCCTCTGGCTGTCTTTGCATGCATATCTTTGTGTGCATACGTGTATATAGACACAAATATACATGTGCCGTAGCGGCTATACCTGTAAATGGGTTCAACACTCGTTGACACGCGCACACACAGGTTTACGTACCCGCAAAGACTTGGTTTAAATCTGAGTACCTGAGCATACATATATAGATGTATGTGTGTATGTATGTATGTATGTATGTATGTATGTATGTATCTCTGTCTGTATGTATGTATGTATGTATGTATGTATGTATGTATACATATACATACGTACATACATATATACACCAAGCACACATACACATACACGCAACTGTATCTGTACCTACATCTAGATCTAGATCTATGTAATTTGGCAGTGACGTCGGTACTGTAGATAGTCCGAAAGAAAGTTAGGCAGATGGATGGACAGATGGTTGGACAGTAAGATGATAGGTCGGTCATGCGGATGAGCAGGAGGATTCACAGATGCAGATGTAAGCATGTGAAAACTATACAGAGATGAAGAAGAAGACGACGGTAGATCGAGGCTCCTCCTGGTGCCCTTGTCGCGGCGAGCCGTTGCGCAGGACTTTGCGGAGGCTACTTCGGCTAAGTTGCACCAAGACACTTAGGACTTGATCAATCCCCCCGAACAAGATTCAACAAGTAGAAGAACAGGGGAAGCTCATGTTCAACCCACGGAGTTTTCAACCCCGCGTGGCAAACCAAAAACGGACAAGCCTCGGTGCTCGGATTTTGGCTTTGCAGTCACGACTGAAATCTAGCAGCATCCTCTCGACCCTCGGTGCCAAAAGCTTGGCCAGGCCCAGCGACACTATCGGGAGGCTGTGCACAATGGCGGTGGCCTTAGCTGGCATGAAGCCGAGGTGCAGAAGCCAGAGATTGTGAGCTTCCTATTCCGAGCTTTCAACCCTGTTGATCAGGCGAGATCAAGGATCATCCACCCGTCCATGGTGACCTCAACATCCCAGAGCCTAGCTTGGCATGTGGTGAGCGAATCTGCTGTTGCTGCGGTTACGTCTGCTTTGTGCAGGCTTCACCTTGCGTGCTTTACTTCATGCGACCTGAGGACATGGATAAGCTCAACAAGGTAATAGATCCAGCAGTTGCTCCGAAGGCCTTGGACCTGAGTAGTGCTCCTTCGAACATCTTCCGAACTTTGCAAGTAGTCGTCCGCACCAGGCGGTCAATGTGCTAGGCAAGAAGGGTCCTGTGCCCATCTCAGTCAAGCAGATCAGGGAGACAGGGCATCCACTGTGGCGGTGTTATGAACCCTCGTGTCACTCGTGTTTTCTGAAGTTGGAGAGTCTCTCTAGCTTCCTCTTGATCTTGAGCTTTAGCAAGTCGTCATGAGTTTTCCCGGCTTCAAGTTTCGGCTCCCCGCTTGCGGTGACGTGCGAGTGCAGATCACACCATCCACCATCCACAGGTTCTGTCCTTCAACTCTCGGCCTGTCTCTCTCTCCTCTGCTTCCTCTGTCTGAGTGCCTCGCGGTCTCCCTTCCAAGCGTGCAGCTAGAAACATGTGCAAGGCAGCCGTTTATGTGCCACGCTGGACGTTTGTTGAACCTGCAATCGAGGTGGATCCATCGAAGCTCGACGCAAGCAACACCACCCAACTGGAGCCACTCGTGGACATGCTGAAGCACGACAAGCAATACAAGGAGGCCGGAACTTGGCAGGGTCGCTGAGTGTGACATGCACGGAGCGCCAGGAACAGAAGGAGCTGAAGAAAAAGGCGGATGCTGCAATCCTTCATTTCCAGAACAGCTACAAGGCACGAGGTGGTTAGGAGGTGAGGTGCGGTCCCCAGTTTTTAGGCCATCAGCCGAATGTTGGAAGGCCATGGCAGACAGGGGCATCAAGGGGGCCGCGTTCGACAAGAGCTCTCTGATCGAAGACGCAGAGGAGCAGCGGATCAAGGAGCCGCTGGAGCTCGGAATGCTTTGACTGCAGCCTTCCAGAGACCCGGACGGTGACTCGAGCCTCGAGAGCTGAAGTGCAGGAGCTTCCAGGGCCCTGGCGACTTTGGGGCTCTTCCGGGCTTCTTCTCGCCAGAACCTGAGAGCCAAGCACAAGCGAGCGCCACTCGCCTCGCGTCGCGAGTCGCAGGTCCTGGGAGTCGCCGGCGTCTCCTTGGGAATCGGCTGCAGAAGAGGCCTCCTCGGGCCTCGGCTCATGGCTGCCTCTCTAGCTGGTTCCACCGTTTGATTGTGACACGGTGGTCGGCCCTACGGAAGACTCGGAGTGTTGCTGATGCGTCCTAAAACATCCATGTCATTCTTCCCGGACCTGTGCAGCTCGCGTGGTTGCGGACACTGTGCCCCTGACCGATGCCTCTGACTTGGAGAAGTAGGTGAGTTTGCCAAGCTGGCTCGGCTGCGAACTCACGATGTGACGGGTGTCTTCCATGACGTAGACCACAAGTCTCACCCTAGCAGAACCACAGAGCACATCCGGTTGGAAGTAGCTCGGCTTGTGCGAAAAGCACAGGCGAGTCAAAGAAGCCCGCTGTGCAAAAAGGCACCACGCGAACTGAACACAGTCTAATCGTCATTCCAGGTTACGACAGTTTACAAATACGTAGAGTAGAGTTTTCTGGAAGAAAGGGTGTGAGGTGTGTTGAGGCATGGTGAGCTATCGCAGGCGGCTCGAGCGGTTTGAATTCCGCGGCCGAAGGACCTCGCCAAGGTTGCTTTTTGAGAGACTTTGGAGCTGCGATGGATCTCGAGAAGCAGGCCCGCGAGATGGCGGAGAAGGCGACAACCCAGTTTGATCCATTTGGCCGGAAGGGGAAGAATTTCTCACAGGAATTTCACCTTCGTCAGGCCCTGGCCTCGCTTCCGGCCGCGGCGCGCGCCGCCAAGCTGGACTCGGCGCGGAGACCTGAAAGAGATGCGCAAGTGCCGTGCAAGTGTGACCTGACTTCTGCAGGTGAAGGCGGGCATCTTGAAGAGGTTGCAGGCAGGCAGCGTTTCGCGGTCACCGGCGCCGGCTCCGGCCCCCCCTGCGCCGCCCCCACCGCCTCCCCAGCCCGAGCCCAGCCCGGAAGGGCCGGAAGGGTGTGGAAAAACTGCAGGGCAGGTGGAGGGCGTGGAGCTCTTCGGCGATGTGCAGTGGTATGCAGACTCGGAGCTTCGGGCCCGAATATTGGAGGATGTGAGACAGGCCCATGCTGCAGAGAAGATCCTGGTAGCTTCGCCGATGGAGGAAATCCCAAGAATCCTTCCAAAGAACGGCCAAGTGCTGGGCGCCGGAGCAGTACTGCGTTTGGGCGGGGTGCATCATGGTGGCTATGGAGAGTCAGACATCAACTACGCGTATCGCCAGCTCTCCCGAGCCCTGCATCCAGATAAGAATCCCGGCATTGAGGAGGCAGGATTGCATGTCAAGTACTTTAAGTACGGGTATCACATCCATGTCCACGAAGTGTGCAGGCTCATGATGCATTCAAGCGCCTGGGGGAGGCTTCAGAGGACGCCCGACAGTTTGGAGTCAAGAGTCTTCTTGATGGCGTCCGTGGGTGTCTAGAGCTTTTGAACAGCCAGTGCGAGCCTCTTGTCTCAGGAGCTGCGTGGTATCCTCCAAGAGTCCCGAAAAGCGCTGCAAAGCTTGTGACTTTGTCGGCACCATGCGATGTATGCAGGGCAGGGCCTGTTTCGGTGCCTCACGTCTAGGGTTAATATGGTTCTTTCTCAGTCTGACCATCCTCGTGCTCCTATCATGTCTGCCGTTACGATCAATATGGTGCCACTGCGTTCCGTTGTCAATATGTTACAAGTTTTGCGCTGCCCTTGTATTGGATCAAATCACTGTTCCTTCGCCTGTTGCATCGACTGCAAGGTGCCATGTGACTCAGGGCGGCCCCGCTTCTGCTGAGAGCCTGGAGCGACCGACGCTTGGCAAACAGAGGGGCCCCTGAAATACGTTGTTGTACCAGCAGATGCACGGTTGCTACTGCTAGTGCCACTGCTGCTACCACCACCAGCACAAGGCAATGTGCTCTACTGGCCGAAGCGAGCCGGCTGCTCGCCGCGGTTATTGCTCTGTCAGGCAGTGATGCGTCAACCTGCCTGCTTCCCTTCTTACATGTGTGGCTTAAGTATGGGATCTTTAGGGAGTTGCGGGATGTCGGGCCGGGGCAGCAGTGTTTCGGATTTGGGCATCGTAGGGCAGATGGCAACTTTGTTTTCCGTGAACGCAAAGCTTGCAGCAGGCGAAGGTATGCCCTCAGAGGCAGCGCTTCGGCGCAGCACTGCTGCCTTCGTTGCACAGCCGGCTTTCCAGGGCTGTCGGCCACAGGACCGAGTGTCAGAAACATTGCGCTGCACCTTGGGATGTCATCCAGCTGTCAGGAACTGCTGGGCAAGTGGTCCGTGCCTCAGCAGACCTTGTCCATCTTTCTGCAAGCGCTGTGAATCGTCGCGTGAAGCTCTGAGGTACCAGGAGTCGCATCTTCTGGATCTGTTTACCAAAGCCCCGCTGCGCATCGCCTACGATTGCTCACAGAAGCCTTTCCGTGCGCAGTTCCTCTGTTCCCTCAGCCGGGCTGCCGAGGCTGAGGCAAGCTGGTCATCACCCTGTCCTGTCACGGTGTCCGATGCCAATGTCCCTCTCCTAAAGCCCTGCTCATCCAAGCCTCTACAGACCAGCGAAGTGGAACCATCTCGCTTCCTTAAACCTGGAACATCCTGTTGGCCAGGTAATCTCTATGTCATCACGGCTATCATTCACATCGCTGATTGCCGGTATCGTTCTGCTATGCGCCATGGTTAATGTGAGCATCAGCTTGAGAAGTACTCGTACTACTGTGCTGTGCTTTCAGTTCTTCAACTGTCAATGTAGTTGGCACATGTAGACTAGATGTGTATATACATATATGTGCTTGTCATCAGTACTTGTCATCAGTACTTGTCATCATCGTCATAATCATCGTCATCTCATCATCGTCATCTCATCATCGTCATAATCATCGTCATCGTCATCGTCATCGTCATCGTCGTCGTCGTCATCATCATCATCATCATCACCATCACCATCACCATCACCATCACCATTATCATCATCATCATCATCATCATCATCACCAATGTTATCATCATCATCCCTATCAACAATACCGTTACCATTACCATCTACCAATACCATTAGCATCACCATCGCCATCGCCATCACCGTCGCCATCATTCTCAGCTTCGTAGACACGATTAGCACTAATGGCTAGCACAGAAGCGTCGTTATCCTTGCGTCAGGCGAACCGCAACGACAGCTGCGTACGTGGAAGCTGGCACCAGGCGGGACACTCTCATGCCAAAACTGAACCATTGAGAGCCACTGCAGGTGATGGCGCAATTTCCGGAGCTGGGCCTCTGGAAAGAGCTGCAGGAGGGTGGGAGAGTTCAGGGCAAGCTGCCCGAGATAAGAGTCCCAACCGCCGTGAATCAGGACAAAATCCGATCACGCATATGGGCATCAGGTCACCCCATCCCCATGTTAATGCTATGGCGGGCAAGTTTTCAAGTTTTTCTGGGAAAGCTTCTAAATGAGCCAGGTGCTGCAGCGGCAGGCAAGCGCAGCCGCAACAGCAAATGGGATGACAAGTCAGCGGCTTCTTGTGCCACTGAGTGGGGGAAGAAGTGGCGGACCATCCTGCAAGATGTTTTGCCTGGTGCAGAAGCAGCGAGCCGTCCTGACGTCGACTTGGAGATTCAAAAGCTGTGTATGGTACTCTGGAGAGACACTGCGCCTTGGGTCGGCGACGGTTTTCTGCAGCACCTTCGCCTGTTCCAGGCCAGCGACGCAGGCACGGCTCTTCAACAAAGATCCAAGCTAGGCTCAACATTGCTGCACAACGCATTGCAAAGACTGTGGTAGGTCCCGGCATTGACGATGAGACAAAGTGGGCCTTCGTGCCCGCGACGGATCTCCTGCTGTTGGTCGGTGAAGGTTTGGTTGGCTGCACAGCCGAAGGCTGTTTCGTGCAGTCAGATTCTGGCGCCGCGAGGCCAGTAGAACTAACACTTGTTCGAAGCGTTGTGTGCGACGGAGTCTTTGACCTCAGGAAGCCTTTCCTGGAGGCACTGAAGAACTGGCGCTCGAGCCTCCGGAAGAACCGTGGAGAAACAACGGCCGACTCTGCAGTCAGACTCTGGAAGTCCGGTGCCAAGAGAAGCGGCCAGAAAGAGTCCGAGACGGCCAAGAGGGCACGGACCACCGAAAAGGAAGAAGAAGCACCTGAAGAAGTTCAGGCAAAGCTAAACCGCTCACCGACAAAGGTTTTGCTCCTTACTAACGTGGCGCCGGCCAAAGAGCCAGAAGAGACCATTAAAGCCACCGTTGAGGAGTGGGTCACGAAGTTTGGTGCGGTCAAGGAGTGCACCGTCGTGAGGGTTCCCGACGTCCCGGAACAGGATGCCATTCGGGTGTTTGTAGTTTTCGACAGCATCAAGGCTTCGTCGAAGGCCTACGCATCCTTGCGAGGGCAGGTGACGGATGGTCGAGCGCTGCGGGCCCGATTCTACGACGAGAAGCGTTTTCAGGATGGCGAGCTCTACAAGGTCCTGCCACTGGCAGCAGTTGCTGTGCAGACTTGTGCACTGTCAGTCACACCATAATCATGACACACGCCGTCCCTTCTGCCGAAAGGCGATTCCCTCTCGCATGCTGGTGCTGACGAATTTGGTCCGTCCTGAGGAGCTGGATGGCGGTCTGCAGGATGCCGGCAGTGCGGGCATGTCCGGTCTCGCTTGCAGTCAGCACACAACCAGGAAAGTTCAGTCTGCGCCCAGGACGAAGTGCGGCACCTGGCCAAACAACATGGCAAGTTGTGCAGATGCGTGGTCAAGACTCTCTCCGACCTTCAACCAGAGGCCTGTCCGAGTGAAGAGATAAATCTGAGATGGTACTCGATAGTCGTAGGCCTGGCGATCATTGGCGATCCAAGCTATTCGTGAGGAGAGCGTGCGCGTCTTCCTGGAGTTTAGCACGGTTGACGAGGCGGTAAAGGCTCAAGCTGCCTTGCATGGTCAAGACTTCGGACGGCATCGCATCAAGGCCCGGTACTTCAACGAAGCTCAGCTTCCCGGAGAGTGAGGATGAGACCTGACGCCGTGGATGTGCCGTGACCCTGCCGTGACCGTGCGACCCACGTGGCTCGTCTCAAGCGCGAGCCAGGAGCAACGAGAGACAGGCTCAGCACAGGAAAGGCGCCCCGGCGCCCCTCCTGAGAAGACAGCTTCGGCTCTTCATGGCCTCCGGCAACGCCGAGAAAGAGAAGCTGAGAAACGAGTTCTGCAATGGGCCTCAGGAGCATCGCCGGATACCGCCGAATGCCAAGATCCAAGATGCGCTCTTCTGTCTCCTGAAGGTCGCAGATCTACAAAGTTCCTGCGTCACGCGACAAAAGACTCAGCACTGAGCATTCGCATGACTTGCTTTTCATCAGTCAGCGAAGCTTGCATTGTGGCTCTGCATGTTCAATGAAGGCAGCACTTCCAGCAATGTTCAATGAATCGGGCCGTTTGGCCGTACTGGAACAAACAAAGCTTGCCCCAGAGTCAGCCAGACTTGATCTGAAGTAGATTAGGTGCCGTCTTCGACTTGTAGAGCTGTGGCCATGCAGGGCCAGCCGGGTTCAACTGCGAGGCCGACGCCCAACCGCCGAGACCTGCGCAAGTATGCCCGGCTCTTTGTGAAGACGGACCAGGATGGCGACGGCTTCGTCAGCAGTGACGAGGCATATTCTCTATTTACGAAGTCGCAGCTGCCAGAGCATACTCTGCAACAAGTTTGGGTTTTATCCAATGTAAGTGGGAGTGGCATGCTGAGCTTCCCAGAGTTCATCGCTGCCATGCACCTGATACGCGAAGCTCGCCAGACACAGCAGAGCCCAACGGCCATCTCGGGGGAACTTTCAGCCTTCCTCGGGGGTATTTCGGAGTCTGCACAGGATTTGTCTTTGGAAGGAAACTCGCGGTCTGCCCGTACCTTGCGGTCGCCCGTGGCCTTCCAGGGCGCGGGCTCCAGCCCGCATTTCGGCCACGCCCTGCCCGCCGCGCCCGCCGAGTCCTTCGGTCTTAGCCACTCGCCGGAACTGCCGGAGTTGCCACAGACGCCGTTCCAGCCCGAGCCCGAGGATCCCGCGGCCGGTCTCGAGGATGGCAAGAAGAAGAAGGGTCGGAAGAAGGACAGAAAGGAGAAGAAGGAGACACCTGGTCCGGATCAGGGTCAGCCTGAGGTCTCGGAGCCTTGGGACTCGGGCAAGGTCGGTTCTGCAGCCGAACCCGACTTTGGAAGTGCAGTCGGGACCCCAGAGAGGGCCCTCACCTTCCCAGAGTCTGTGTTTCTCTGCTTGCAAAGAAACTCTTCTATTTCTGTTTTCTCCTTCCTCGTCTCTCAGGCTGCCAACTGGACCACTTTTGGAGACCAGCACACTCCTCCCGAAGCTGGCAAGGAGAAGAAGGAGAAGAAGGAGAGAAAGGAGAGGAAAGACAGAGACAGGGGACAGCAATGGGACAAAGACATTAAGGACGACGGGCAGACGAGGTTTCAGCCTCAAGCAAGCGCAGCTTGGCCGTCCACCGACGAACACTGGTCCAAACCTCTGCCTCCGGAAAATCCATCTTTAGGTGGCTTCGGTGGCTTCGGAACAGCTGGCGGAGCTTTACAAGCGAGTCAACCTCAAACCCGCATGGGCCTGCGCTTTGACTTAGACTTCGGCAAGAATGCAGATCCTGACTACATGGCGAGGCTGCAGGAGATCCATCTTCGTCCGGACTCACCTCCCGTGACCTCTCCCAAAAAGGCCGAAGCTGATGGGTGGGCAGGGCGCCGACATGATGGGCACTTCGAGAAGAGGTACGAGACCGCCTACAAGCACATGGGGGATTACGCCAGCCCCGCACTTCATGTTGCACTGATGGGTTTCCGCTCGGCCCAAACCCAGGCCCAGGCCCCGGCAGTGCTGCCGGAACCAGGGAGGCCTTTTCTGAAGACAATGACACCCCACTTCACAGTGCAGCCACCCATGCCACCCACGAGGGTTTTGGAGGTCGGGAAAGAGGCAATGACCCGAAGCCTGGGACGTCTGACTTTTGCACCCATGACGGCTGCCTGAAGAGGCAGCGCAGTTCGGGTTCTCGAGCTGGACCGTGCGTGCTTGTAGAGCCTACGCATTGGAGTGCTCTTCGTCTAGCATCTTCTACCTCTTACCTATTTTTAGTGTTTCACCTGTTAGGTTCCGCAAATGTCTCTGGCGCAGGCTGTAGCTCATTGACCGGGGGGTTTTAATGTCCCTCTCTTCGTCGTCCTGAGCTGCCTCCTTCGTCAACATGCCGAGCGATGCTTGAAGCGACCGCTCATGACCCGAGGGCATGACAGAGTGCAGAGTATGGAAGTACAGATGCCACGATGTGGCAGTACGCCAGTACGCAGAGTCTGATAGCTGCAGCCCCAGGTTAAGAACAAAAAGGTCCCAGCAAATGTCAGTGCTTGCGAACAGGCAGAGTGCTCCGCATGCGCAGAAGGTCTCCGAATCTTTCTGTTCTTCTGTATCCCGGGCTCAGAGGTCTCAGAGGACGCATCCACCTCACATGGGCATTCAACAGCCGACATTTTTCGGATCCAGATTTGTTCGAAGCGAACGCTGCGCAAGGAAGGATCTGTCAGATCATAGGAATCAAAGGAGCGTCACCAATACGTTCTGTGAGGCAGTGTGCCGTATTACATACTGATGCAGCCAAGAACCAATATTTGCAAAAGGGGCACAACAAAGTCGGACAGATTCCCAAAGGATCAGATCATACGCGAACAAACACTGTTGCTGCCGAGAAGTGTGCGCAAAGTGAGTTGATGGCACATGGCGGGGTCGACTTCTCAGCTACGTGTTTGTATTCTGACGTGCTGTCGTGATCACAATAGAACCAGGGCAGGTTTATGTCATGCAAGGCAGTAATCAACCCATGCCGACCGCTCGCGTGATTGCAAAGCCGTATCCTGCCACATGCCCCACCGAGCCCTTCCCGTGCGTCTCTTCGCCGTATCTTTGCGTCCTTTCTGAGCGTTTGGGGTTGTGGTGGTGTAGCTGGCTGTACTCTTGCCAGCAGATCGAGAAGCCGCTGCGAGAGGGGGAGGAGGACGACAATGGCTGAAGGGCAGTATTGTCGGGTGCTGGTTGCCTGTGCAACTTCTTTGTTAAACACAGTCTTGAGTGTGGGTGATGTCGACCAGACCCAGTGTGAGCCACACAACGAGCTTCCAAGCCACAGGCTTCCCAGACCCTTTCGAACAAATACGCCGCAAATTGAAGCGGAAGAATCCGCTTCAGCAACTTCTCTCAGGCGGAGCCCACGGCCCTGCGGCTCCACGTTCCGAGGAGTGCAGAGTCAGTCAGAGCGTTTGAAGCCGGCCCAGTGACAATCGTCTGACGCGCTGGCCCGATAGCAGCTTTTCACAACGCCCGTTGTATAGTCCAACTAGGAAAACTCACACCATCGAAGGCTTGTGCTGGGCGTTGCGCTCTCCAGCCAAGCAAGAAATCTCAGTCCGAAGCACTTATAGATTCAGCTTGACGAGGACGCCGCGCGTTGATGCGCCGGGGCCTTGTTCTGCATTTTGGTGCTTTGTCCCACGGGACAAAGGGAGCATTCGCTGGGCATGCCAGTGCTTTCGGGTCGGTGCGAAGCGGGTGGAGGCTTCACATTTCGGCAGCTGGATGAAGACTAAAGGTCTGCTTGGGATAGCAGGCGTTAGGCAGAGTCGATGTCGCTTATACCAGCAACTTAATTTCACTGACACACTTCGGCTACAAAGCACAAGCTCATCTCGAGCTTTTTTGGGAGGTGTTGTCCGGGCTCTTTCCAGTAGACCATGGCTGTGTTAAACATGGGTTGTTACCAGCACGCATGCGGCTGGCCTGGTGAGGTCTAGCGGGGAATTCATATTGCTTCCGCAGGAGATTAGACATCACGGGGGCTTGCCCTATGGCAGAAAAGCTGTCCAAATTCGCCTGTGACCTTTGATGACGGCCGCCGAGCCGCAGCTTTCAGACTGTACGCCGAGGCCCTTGAGACCGAATGCAGGCGCGGCTGTTCGCTCTGTGGTCTGAAGCTCCTTTAGCAGCGCATTGAGCCTCGGTCTCTCCTTTTTCATGCTGTGTTGAGGCGTAAATGCCACGGAGCGCAAGGTGGGAGAAAGTCCGCCGTTCTGAGACCGGCTTGCGTGCTCGTGCCTGGCAGGTTGTGGTGGGCACAGGAGCCCCGGATGGTTAGCGCTGCGGTGGGGTAAAGTCTCGTTGAGGGCCTCCAAGCCTGACTGTCATGACTAGTCATGACTCATAGTGGTAGCACTCTCTTCGCGGCGGCCTCACTGGCCGCTCCCAGGACGGTGTGAAAGGGTCCCCGGCGGGGTCGGCGACGACCCCTGCAGTCAAAGCGGCCGGAGCCTCAGAGCTTTGCTGCAGAGGTTCTCAAGCCTTGCGAGATGAAGGCTGGACTTCCCTGCCACAGCTCTGGGCCCCTCCCATGGCCTCGAACCAAGTCGAATAAAGCTTCTTCAGACAGAAGCTGCAGCTTCCGCACCTGCTGAGGCTCCAACGCTCGGTAGCACTGCCAGCACGGAGACTACACCGACGCCCAGCCCTTCGCTGAGCGGCTACCGGTGCGGCTTCCCAGTTCAGTTGACTTCAGTTTCAGTTATCTAGGGGTTGCTCTTCAGGTCTAGGTCTTTGCCCTTTATCTTGTGTTGTCGTTGAGACCAAGAAGCCAGGATGATTGCTCCACTAGCACTAGCAGCGTGCTCCTCACATTTCACTTGCATTCTTGCGCTGAAACAGAAGGCTCTGCCAAGTTGCTGGCACACCTTTAGGTCGCTGACATGTTGGCTGGCCATGATTTCTTCAAGAGGAGGGGCGTCAAGTTATTTTTATTACTCCGTAGTAGGAAAGGCAACATTCTTTTTCAGTGATCTCCACGTCTTCAAGTTGATGGTTTCGATACCGCATGCAAATACTGGGTATTGTGTGCAGCAAATCCGCTCGGTTCGAGTCAAAAGAAATTTTGACTCGCAGCGGGAGGTTGAGAGTCGCGGCAGGTATGCTGCATGCACGCATGCATCAAACGACCAGTGTAACGAGTCTCGAAACATGTCGCTGCCCCCTGAGCCCGTGCAGTCCTGGCAGGAATGTCGATAGGCCCCTCAAGAGCGAAGGTAAATCTCTTGGCAT